TAATGTTGAAGATTGTACAACCAGGAATAATGAATTTAACCCTCAGTTGACCCCTGTACGGTAGATATAAATGGTCCCCCTCCTATGTTTTATGTTACGTCTTCCACTCTCTGCTGCCCCCAGGGGATGTTCTGATGCCATCAGGAAAAACGGCTGAGCCTGTGATCATAGATAATCTTGATTCTACTGTGACTGTTCAGTACTCGCCCAGTGAGGCTGGTCTGCATGAGATGCACATCAAATATAATGGCACACACATTCCAGGTGAGCACACACAGAGCTGTTATTATAGAACTACTGTACAGTCATGGCTGTAAAGCACTTACTCTTCCCCTGCAAAAATCTATAGAGAAAAAGCTGTTGGTCTACTGCTCCCTCTTGTGGTCAGTTTGGTCAGCAGGATGAAACTAAACAAAGTCTGTGTGATAATCTGTTTGTATTAATTTTTTGTGTATGTGTGTTTTCCTGTTCGGTATGTCTGTATGTATACACGTATGTTAGAGTCTCCTCTTCAATTCTACGTGAACCACCTCAGCAGTCCAAATGTGACGGCCTATGGTCCTGGATTAAGCTACGGTGTTGCTAATAAGTTGGCTTTGTTTACTGTTTGCACTGAGGAAGCCTCTGAAGGTAGGATAAGACAGACTGACTGATACGCCTTTTATTCCACAACTGAACAAGTGGGCGTGATGCTGCGGTGTTGTTGGTTTCAGGTGGTCTAGATCTAGCTGTTGAGGGTCCGTCCAAAGCAGAGATCAGCTGTGTGGACAACAAAGATGGGACGTGCAGCGTCAGCTACCTCCCCGTGCTGCCTGGTGATTATAACATCCTGGTCAGATACAACCAGCAGCACATCACTGGATCACCCTTCAGTGCTAGGATTACTGGTCAGTCTGGACACACACACACACAAATACAAACTACGACACCCAATAGAGGGGTCCTCAACTTATGTCAGAGTTCCATTCCTACGGTGCAACATAACATAAATCTGAACTTTCATACCTGACTTTAGTCATTCACCTACACTAAAACAGTGGTCATATCATAACCCAGGGCTTTCGAACATCAGAAGGGTCTGACTTTCACCTGGGAGCCATAATGAAGGGCAAAAAGTTTCCAACAAAAATAAAACGCAAATTTAAAAAAAAGTGTGTGTAGAACAATCCAGTGTATGCCTTTAAACCAGCCAATGTAAACAAAGACATCTTCTGAGTATAGTGTCGGGTGACAGTTTGTGCACAAAAAGTTTTCACTGAATTCACTGATTGATTGTCTTTGATGTGTGTGTTTTACCTCCTCACTTTCATGTATTTGCCCTATGGGACAGTTGTCTCTTAGTCGTTAGGGAAGCAGACGTGGGTCTGGAAGGCTTCAGGTTTGAGTCCACCAGCTGCCAAGTTACCACTGAGATGCTCTTAGCATGGCACCCTTCCAATCACACTGCTCCCCGGGTGCTTAAAGCTACCCACTGTTCACTTTGGTGATGGGTTAAAATCAGAGGTCACATTTTGTTTATTTATTCCAGAACACAATGACATATACCTTGTATTGTGTAAGCATATTGCTGCTATATCAGTGTTGGTTTAAACCTGTTGTGTCCAAACTATTCCACAAGGGGCGAGTGTCTACAGGTTTTTTCTTTCCAAATAAACAGAAGCACACCGGACTTGACACATTAAATCAATTGATCTCAGTCTTCTGACAGCTGATTGGTCCAACTCTTGGTTGGTTTAAGTTTAGACATGCCTGCTTTAAACAAATGTTTGTTTTGTAGATAGATAGAAAGACAGATAGATAGATAGATACAACAAGAATAACACAGGAATAGAATCAACATAAAACCATAATGGTCGTTCAGTGTAAATATAATATATTTACACTGTGATCATTTTTAAATAGTATTATTCCTACACTTATACATACATATATATAGTGATTATTATTATTATAGTAATATAATATATATATAT